TGGCACCGGATTTGTTATCGTAACAGTTGGCCACAATCTCTTGCATGAGATGTGACTTATGGTTCCAGAGGTCCTGGAAGTCCAGCCGTTTGACACGGAGTAGAGTACACGGCTCTTGAGTGATGATGGAGTGCGAGTGACTGCCGTCGCCCAACACTGCCGATGGCAATGTCAACACATTCATTAATTCATTGTGGTATTTATGTTAAATTCTTATTCTAAACATGCAATATTATAATATTCATGTTTATCCCATCATCATCAAATATATGTCTGACCACTAACTTAGTTGTGATATTAGCTGATTATTAAACTAGATTAATGATTTCTAGACCGTATAATAACAATTACAAGGTTTAGTGAATCTGATAACACATTTTGATAAATCATTTGATGAAAGCACTGGTTTTGGTTTTGTTTTTATTTTTATGTTAACATATTTTAATTATTGATTGCTATAAAGATTTGGTGTAAAAACCAGAACAACATTTAATGGATTGCTATTAATTTTCAAATTGTAAATAAATGTTAATTTCAAAAATGTAAATATAATTATTATTATCTCATTTAATTTTGATACAATTCTAACGATTAATATAACTATTAACTCGACGATTGCTAAGATTGTTGTAATCATGATCAGACATATATCTTTATAACGTGAAATTATGACTTTGAAATGAATATGGACAAATTAATAAGTGGCCGAACCTGATTCCCCGAAAGCCGTGCCCACACCCAGAGTGCATACGGTCTCCACATCCTATTGGAAATCATATGAAATCAACATTACATTCAACTTTCATTAAATACTTGTGAATTAAATTTGAAATAATATATTCAATGAGTGAATGCTATGACCGGAAATATATTTGTGTTTTTATTAATAATGTAAATTATGTTAATTTAAAAAGATTTGTATTTATATAATTTTATATATTTATTAGTTAAAAAATCATAACTAAATTACTTGACACAACTCTTGTAAATGACTCTCTCTCTCTCTCTCTCTCATCATTATAAATAGCCATACATTTAACCATAATATTAATGTGCATTTCTTTGGCTTTCGTATCGTATTGTTTGATATAAATTATTTAAATGACTCATAGTTTTGATAAAACAATCAA